GACCGGAAAGAAAGTAAAGTTATTCAAGATTTAAGTATAGCCAAGAGGGAACTAAACCAAGTTAAAAAAGATTTTATTATTTATAGAGAAAGAGAAATTAACCTTGAAAAGGCAGATGAACAAAGAAATTACATTATACCTTCCTTAAAAAAGAAGATCGAAGCATTAGAAGAAGAAGCAAACCAAAATGAGTTGAGAGAGTATTTTATTGACCATGAGGATATTGCTAAAACAATTTCTCAAAGATACAATTTACCGACTAAGAAAATATTGCTTGATGAACAACAAAAATTATTTTTGATGTCTGATAGTCTTCAAAAAGAAATAAAGGGGCAGACTAAGGCTTTAAGAATGGTTTCTGACGCCATTTTTAGGGCCCGAGCAGGAATTCAGGATCCTAAACGTCCTCTTGCTTCTTTTCTTTTTGTTGGACCAACTGGGGTAGGAAAGACCCTAGTAGCTTTGACAGTCGCCGAACAACTTTTTGACCAAAAAAGTAATCTTATTCGTTTGGATATGACCGAGTTTTCGGAGCCGCACTCAATTAGTAAACTCATCGGTTCTCCTCCCGGCTATATTGGCCATGAAAATAAACCGCAATTAGAAATTGTTCGTGAAAAAATGTATAGCGTAGTGCTTTTTGATGAAATAGAAAAATGTCACCCGGAAATCGTTAATATTCTCCTCCAAATCTTAGATAATGGTTTTCTTACTTTAGCAAATGGTCGCGAAGTTAATTTTCGAAACACCATTATCATTTTAACCACTAACTTGGGTTCAAAATTATATTTTGAGGATAGAGAAAAAAGCGAGTTAGAAGAGGAGTTGGATTTCGAATTAAAAAATCATTTTCCTCCTGAATTTCTCAACCGCTTGGATGAAATAGTTTTTTTTAATTCTTTAACAGAAGGAGTAGTTAAAGAGATTATTAATAAAGAATTGAAAACTTTTACTGAGCGGGTTGAACAGGAGAAGGGAATTGAAATAGGATACAATAAAGAAAAAATAATAAAAAAAATCCTTCAGAATACTTATTTAAAAAATCCCCATGATGGTGCTCGGCAGATTAAACATTATATAGAAAGGGAAATCGGCACCTTGGTTGCTCGGGGAATTGTTTCTCAGTTTCTTCATTTTAGAGGTAGTTATCTTTTAGATTTAGAAGAGGGAACTGATGAGATTAAAATCAGTAAAATTTATTCATTAGAATCAAAGAAAAATTTGTTAAAAGAGAAATATGAATAGGAAAAAGTTAGATTTCTATTTTTTTAATGTGAAGTAAAATGGCAAATAAAATAGCGATTTTGGCGGCAATATTTTTAATAATCATAGTTTATTACTTGTCCAAAAATAGTAAAAAGAAAAAATGTAAATATAGGGGAGAAGATTGTCCTCTGGCTGATAGCGATTTTACCAAGATAAAGACTATTCCTCCTATTTCGTGTTTAGAATGTGGTAGTTGTGTTTTGAAGAGTAGTGAGTGTTGTGCCAATTGTAGTTTTCAGACTAATTTGGTAGCAGAGAGCCATTGTCATAGTCATAACCATTTGCATGACCATTATCATAAGCATGACCATTATCATCAGGTCAATAGTAAGGAAGCATTTTTTTTATTTTTAATGCCTTTAGTAATGGGAGTAATAATGTATAGAATTATTATTGGCAAAGTTTGGAATAAAAAAGTGTAAGAACTTATTCGTAAACTATATAAAATCCACAAACCCCACTGTTTTTTTTTTTTTTTGTAAAATATATTTAGAGAGTGTTAAAATGATTAGTAATATTAAGGTTAAATAATAATAAATTACAAAAAACTCAGCAATTAGAAGCAAAGATGAAGATAGAAATAAAATAAAAAATAAAATTATAGAAATATGTCAGAAACTATTAAATTTACACTAAGTGGAATTCCTTTAACTTACGACCAAGAAGAATTTGAAAAAGGAGGGAAAGTTAAAACTACTTGAGGGGAATGATGAGAAGGTAAAGGAAGCAGTAAATATGTACCAGGGAAATTAGTTTTATGAGTTAGAATAAGTGAACGAGATATAAAAATAAAAGGCAAAGATGAAAAAATCTCGGCTCTGGGAATTGAGTTAGTTAAAAAAGATGAAGAAGGTAAAGCAACTGATGTCCTTATTGATGGTTTGATGGATATAAGAAACTCTAAAAAAGATTTTTGAATTGAAAATTTTGATCGCGATTATCCTGACCTTGAAGTTTTACAAGGGAGTTTTTTGGCGATACCTCGTGGGGCGTTCCATAATATTATTTCTCCAACTTCTAGTGGTTCTTCACCAGTTAAATACACATTTATTTCTGATAGTGAAATTGATTCTATTACCGAAAGTGATGAAGATGCAAAAAAATTTAACGGGTGAGTTGATACTTTAGTTAATGCTACGAAAAATGAAGAGACTATACGGGAATTCAATGATTCTGTCAAAGGCTTGAATAGCACTGGGATTTATTATGAACTTTTTTCTAGCAAATGAGAAGTATTCACTAAAGAGCCTAGTTTTGGAAATTATAATGACAGATTTAACTCCCTATCCTCAGCAGCCAAGCGGGGAGTAGATGGAGGAACTAATTTTACGACACCTTGAAAAATAAAAGGGGAGAATGAATTTAAACCGCCATCTGGCAAAACTCTAGATGATATAAAAAAAGATTTTAAAGAACGACAAAAACAATTAAAAGAAGCAATCCAAGCCAAAAAAACTGAATTTCCGACAATTAGGAAGATGGTTGATAGGTGAAGAAGTGATGGTAACCTAACCGACTTAGAACATAATAGTTTAATAGAAAGATGACTAGAAATAGTAACAGAATATGACCAATTGAAGGGCAAAGTGAATGATGTTAGTAACTCTGATTATCATCAATATCAAGGTAAGTTTAAAGAGGAAAGTGAAAAACCGGAAAATGGGGTTTCGGCTGAAGGAGTTTTAGAATTAGAAAAATGAAAAATTCCGGAAAGCGACTTTTTTATTTTCGGTA